ATGGCTTGTTAAATGCAAATAAATGGTACCACAATCTAGAGGTGGTGTGAAATTGTTCTTGTTTGTAGTTTAAGTTTCATTTTCAGATAAACTGTTACATTAAATATTCTATTATCCATAATAATTCTACTTAATTTAAATATGATTGTCTTTTAATAGAAAATATTTGTAATCTCATATAAATTAGATTATCTTATGGTAGACATTAAAATTGGAATTCTAGACTTATAATATTGTCACTTCAGAATACCGATACTTATTCGAGATTATTAAAAATATCATAAAATAAAATTGTAATTCAAATGTCCGGTTCTGATTTATATTTTTATATGCATGTATGATCTAAATATTTTAATATATATTATAAGTTTGAGCCCCTAATTTTAAAATGAGACAGTTTCTATATTTCTTTTAATTTCTTTCTCACATACTCACTTATTTTCCTTGTTTTATGATAAATATATATTTCAAAATTTTATATCAAACCAACATTTTTCATTCTAAATTACTTTTACGATAAAAAAAATGTATATATTATTATTAATTCTTCAATTAATGTTGAATTTTTTAATTAACATAATTCATAATAATAAATTTTGAAAATAATTAATTTATAATAATTATATTAATGTTTGAAATTATCAAAACTAAAAATTTATAAAACCATGTACTATTCTATTTTTATATTTATATTTACATGGATTTAATATTTATAATATTTTCAACAATATAATTGATTAAAAAACTATAAAATTCATGTCACTTTTTAAAGTAATTGCATGTGTTTTTTTCTTGTCTTGTAATATATTTAACCAGCTAGTTACATTTATTATTTTCTGTGTACTATATTCACATGGAGTTAATATTTAAAATATTTTTAACAATATAATTTATTAAAGTTAAAATAGGAAAAAAAAATATGTAGCTTTTTAAAGTAATTGTGTTTGTTTTTTCTTGACTAGCATAGATTTAACAAGTTACATATTTTGTTGTATGTATGTAACTCCTTTGCATAACATCAAGAGTATGGCTAAATATTTACTCTGTAATTTTATTTTTTAATTGTTGGAGCTTTAACTCCTTTTTTTCACCAAATAAATAAATATTTTCATAAAGAAAAATATACCCCCAGATGTTATGAAACTGATATTATTCTTTTTTACCATTAGCATTTCTCCTCTGGAAAAAGTATATTAAAAGGAAGGTTAAAAGAAATCAATGAATTTTTTTCTTTCCTTTTTAATTTTTTGTATGGAGGATATGCTGTTTCAGAGGGAGAGACAATTTGGACCCAACCCAACTATGACTATTGATAATGGTCGAAAGTAGTTATATAAATGTGAGCCCAGAAGAGTAAGCCCATCTCATACCTATTTTGGGCCTCTGTAGCCATTTCTACACTCCAAAAATTTACTCCAGTTTGAATTAACCCACACAAAATTATTTTAACTTAATAAATGATTAAATATATATACACACGTTAAATATCAATCTTATTATATCTATGTCTTGGGATGAAAATGTATGAGGTTACATAAAGTCTGGAAAAAGAATAGAAACTCAAGTTGATTAACAATAATACCAACAAAATATTATATACTCTATCTAAAATTAAAAAAATTTAATAAAAAAAACACAATTTTTTTCTTAAATATAAAAAATATTTAACTACATTTTAATAATACTCTCTAAAATCCTTTAATGCATAACATTCACTTGTACTACTTCTAACATTTATAACAAAAACAATTTAGAAAAAATATTATAAAAATAGTAAAATTTAATTCAAATAATTAACTTTTTAATATGCTTAAAATTAGTTAATTTTACTTAGAGAACAAAGGGAGTGATTGCTAACTCTCAAGTAGAAGATATTTTGAGATAATAATAATAATAATAATAATAATAATAATAATAATAATAATAATAATAATAATAATAATAATAATAATAAATCAGGTGATATTATATTTGAAAAAAAAATCCAATCTTATTGTATGTGTTAGGATGAACATGTATCATCTTACATCAAATTTGAAAAGAAAAAAATATATATTTTTTTAGTTTTTTAAATTTAAAATTAATTTTTTTAGTTCTTGTAATCTCAAAAAATCTTATTTTAATCTTATATTTAAATTTTGTTTGAGATTTTGTTACATATTGTCGCATAAAATTGACCTAATGTCTTTGTTAGTAAAAATATCACATTAAATTCAATTTGTCTCTATTAGTGAAAACATAGATTAAATCCAACTGATATTGTATAATTGTCTTCATATACTATATTTTGTCCCCACTAGTAGAATTTTTTGGGTTTGCTATTGCGATCAACAATGATTGACACAAGAAGTAGTGAATTATATTTCTTATTTAAGTTATCCAAGATTCAAGTCTTGACATTGAGTATTGAATAGACTATGTTCGAAGAGAATATTCACCTTATATGAACTTAAGGTTTTCAATAAAGATTAATCACTATTTTCGACTGTTAATACTTCGTATCAATATCCTAATTGTAAAAAAAAAAACTAGAAGTTATGAAGAAAAAATAATAAGATAAGAGAAAAATAGACAAAAAAAATATACAAATAATAATAATAGAAAAAAAGAATAATCATCGGTGTATCTCAAAGTCTAAGTTGTCATTCAATTATATAATGTTCATAAGTTTATCCTATTTACAAAGATTAATAATAAATAATCTTTAAATTTAAAATAGTTATAATGAAATCAATATAAAATAAAACTAATAAAGTATTTTTTTTATTCATGAGAATTGATTTCAGTACAAAACTCATGCATCCTATTCAATTAACTTAGTTAAATCCTCTTGATAACAATCAATTATTATAAAAGAAAAATACTCTTAAAAATGATAAATAACACCTAAGTATTTTGTCTTCTTTTATATAAACCACATGTATTATCTATCAAAGTAATCTTATCCGAGTTTGATAGACCATTGTAGATGACAAAATATAATCAAAACTCAAATTTGGTCCAACTAGTTAAATTATAACAATCTCATATTAATTAACTTACGCTCTAAGTAGTATTTATATATTGTCCAAACTCTAAATATAAAGAAAAGTATAATTATGTCTACAGTTAAAAAGCTAAAAAAAAATATTTGTTTAAAAAATGTGTCATTATCATGATAATAAATATTGTTCAGCCTTTACACTAACTCTCTTTAAATGTTTGAAAAATATGATTTTGACACTTTTTACATATTACATCAATCATTTAATTGTTTAAAAGATAATAATATCGTATTTACTCTAATAAAGATGTTGCTGTAAATGTTAAATAAATAAATAAGAAAAAAACAAGAAAATTATGTAAAATTTAATTAAATGATAATGTAATTTACTGTCTTAAAAGCTAAACTCTCAAAGTCCAAATTATCGTAACATTGAAATATAAAATGTGAAAATTATGAAAGAAAAGAAGTTAGGTGAGTCTGACTTATATGAGCATTGCGTCGGTGATCTCGTGGTGACCTTACATTGGGAAGGAATCTCCATTTAGTCGGTGTATGGAAAACAAAACTTCACCTTTTTTTTTTTTAAGAAAATAAAAAGTTGTTTATAAAATAAGTTGGTTGTTATTGTTTTCTTTTAAAAAAAAATAATCATATTATTACATAAAATATTTACTAACTTAGTTAGGATGTGATTTATTTCTTTGACCAAAATAGTTGGTGCCTTATTATAGTCATAAACCAATTACTTAAGGAGTTAAAACTAAAGAAGATTTATATTTTTTTTTCAATGATTAATTTTTGTTGAAAAACTTGATTAATTATTTTTAATAAATAAGCTCTCTCAACCACATTTTTATTAGATACACAAAATTTGAATTCAAAATCTTACTTAAATACCATTTGGACTAATAACTTAATAAGTCAGGTATTTGATAGAATAACTTAATTTTACAAACAACTTTTTTTCTTAAAATATAAATTATGTTTTTGAATAAGAAAAATTGAAACTTACAATTATTTTTTAATAAATTTTTCTCAAAATTATTTTTACTACATAAAAATTAATTTTTTAATATCTAAATCGAAACTAAATATCACAAAATCTTTTCATCGAATATATACATTTATTGTTTTCCATCATTATTATCCAAAATATATTCCGCAGTTTTGATTGTTTTTCTCTTGTATTCCACACTTTAGTAATTAGTTTATTGTTAATCTTATTCAATCCTTATACATGTCAGATTCTCTATTTGCTCCCTATAAATATAAATATTATTAATTTAATCTTTATAATCGTTAAATTTCTTATATAAATTTGATTTATACATAATTAATACATTCTTATTCTATGAATAAAGATCAAGCTAAGAATAAAATAAATAAATAAATAATATATATATATATATATATATATATCAAATTAAGACTAGATTAATAATATGTAATTGAATTAACAGAACCAAGAACCAAGTTAATAATATTTAACAAATATAGGTACCGATTCAATAAATTTTTATGTATAAAGATCAAATTAAAATTCACAACATGTATAAAAACTAAATTATATGCTTAACCTAATTTATATAGTGCTTAAGATATGAGAAAATGCTTAATAACTAATATTTTAGTTTGTAAAATGCACATGTTAAATATTTATATATATAATAAAAAGTTAAAATAAATTATATACATAAAT